TAAAACCCGCCCCCGCCCCGCCCCGTTGCCATGCCTAATGGCAATAGGGCGGGGCGGTACGGGTTTCATGATACTCGTCCCCGTCCCGAGCTAAACTTGTTTCCGTACCCGTACCTGTACTCGTCAAGTATGTGATTTTCATCTCCATCCCCATACTCGTATCTGTACCCGTCAAATTTTTTATTTTTTATTTTTTAAAAAAATATAATATTTTTAAATTATTTTTTTAATTATATTATAATTATAATTAGGTTATTTCTTTATCTCATATTATAATAAATAATCACACATAAAAAAATATTAAAATTCTTTAATATAATTAAATTAAAAGTCGTTATTAAATTAAAAATGGAAACGGGGACGGGTAAGAGTACTGGTACGAGGCGGGGTAAGTACATACCTGTACCCGTACCCGTACCCGATTTAATATATTGAATTTTACCCATATTCGTACCCAGTCAAACTGGATATTCCCCGTCAAAGTCGGGACGGGTTCGGGTATTACCCGCGGGTGTGGGTATACTTGTCATCCCTAGTTACACATTGTTATTAATGATATGAGTAACGACAAATTTTTCAGCCATACTAAAATAAAATAATGCTTAATTTTATTAATTTATTATTTAATTAATTGTATCATAATTTAAGGCAAATTATATATATAAAAAATCAATTTATTTATGATTTTTGAATTTATAATTTATTAATCATATAAATAATTGTTTATTCAAAAACATCTCTTAGATATATTTTTTAATGAAGGTTATATTAGTCAAAATAACATTTGTTTGACTTTTGCAGTTAATCAAGGACTTCTTAATCATTTTAGACAATTTTCATTTTTTTTTCAGAAAAAATGAATAAATTTATATATTATTATTCTAAACATATTTTTAAGCTTTAAATTATTTTTTTATTATTTTCACATTACTAGATTTTTTTATATTAAATTTTAAGGTTAAAATAGTCATTTTAATATTTAACGAGTACTCTAAATGAACATTTAAAATCACAACTAACTCTTAGTATTCAGAGTTCACCACCCTTAAATATTTTAGATTTTCATTGTTTTTTAAATACAATATCAATCATCTAAAAAAATTAAAATAAAATTCACGTTGTGAACAATTCTCTGTTAGAGATTGAAGTCAAAATTATATACTAAAATTAGGAGAGTGGATACGACGTCGTTGCATGGGGCGAAATGAGTGAAAGAGTAAAACTCGACCACAGTGGGAGTCGAACCCACGACCTTCTGATCCGAAGTCAGACGCGCTAATCCACTGCGCTATGCGGTCAACTACGATTTTATTGGCTAACTTAAACTATATAAAACAATATAATGTATATGGTAAAGAGAGGGAAAGAATGAAGTGTTGCGAACAAATGATTTCAATATGGTTAGTAACTCGTTTGAGAGAATTTTTTTTAAAACAATAGAAATTAAGTGAATTGCGGTTTCCGAATAAATTGGGTCATATGTCATACTAAAGGTCATTTTATAATTCATAAAGAATTCAAAATCACTTTACAATTCTATAAGAGTCATCAAAAGTTATTTTCTAAATTCATAAGTTAGATTTTGAATTTTTGAGTCACATGTAAAATAATAATTGTTATTGAATTCATTAAAATTTCAAAAATCAATTTGCAATTCTGTTAGGATTATCGAATGTCATTTTTTGAATTCATTATAATTTATATTTTAACTCTCATTGAGAGATATTTTGAAATTCATGAAAAAATTAAAATCACTTTGCAATTTTTTTGTGATCAATGAGGATTTTTTTTTAATTCATAATAATATTGATGATCAGTTTTTTAATTCATAAGGAATTCAAAATCTATTCGCAATTTCATTAGGGTTGCCAATGATCATTATTTGAATTCATAATAATTTATATTTTGGTTCTCATTTGAGATTCATTCTTGAATTCATAAAAAAATTCAAAATTACTTTGGAATTCTCTTGTGATCAATGAGGGTCATTTTTTGACTTTATAATAAAATTGATGATCAACTTTTTAAATTCATAGGAATTCATTACTTGGATCAAAATTCATTGAGAGTAATTATTATAATTATTAAAAAAGATTAAAATCATTTAACAGTTTATGAGGATTACAAAGGGTCATTCTTTGAAATTTATAAAAATTAATATTTTGAATCACGTGAGGATATTTTTTTTATTAATATAAAGTTCAA